TTTTTTTTTTAATGCAAACTGGTAGAATTTTGTCTTTAATGAGCTATCAAGCTATCATTCCATTTTTCCACTGGAAAATTCATATATGATGCAACTATGAATTGAAGGTTGCTTTGGCACTTTGATTTGAAGAAGTTCAGACCAAATGAAGTTAGAAGGGTGAAGATCAGTTTGGCTTGTGTTTTTGCATTTATGGCAATTGGATGGCCATTGATTATCTATAAGACAGGCATCATGGGATGGATTAAGTTCTGGCTCATGCCATGGTTGGGCTACCACTTCTGGGTAATGAAACTTCCTAGTCTCATATAGTTATATTTGATACAATCTGGAACATATTCAATTGGAAAATATCCAAAGATAATTACTGATAATTGGAAAATCTGGTATCAATCTAGTGAACCTTAAACTCACCTCTTTGGTTATATAATGATGTGCACATATATTGAAACCAATCTAAATTTTTTTTCTAAATATTTACCCAAACCAGATTTCATTCATTGATTTAGTAGTTCACATACATTGCCACCTTCTACATTTATAATCCCCTCATTTTTTTTCCTTCATTCACAACTTCATTAGAATTTTTCCAAACCCATTCATGGTTGTGCCAAGGTAACTTCATATTTTTATGTGCTCTGTTCAAAGTTGATGAATCTTTAAATACTCAGTAATAGTTTGCTCTTTTAGTGAGCCAAGAGTCATCTGATTATGCAGATAAAACTTGTGTTTCTTTGTTTCTGAAAAAGTATGGTTTCTTACAACTTTGAATAGATGAGCACTTTCACAATGGTACATCACACTGCTCCTCACATACCCTTCAAGTATTCGGATGAGTGGAATGCAGCTCAGGCCCAGCTTAATGGAACAGTACATTGCGATTACCCATGCTGGTAACGTACATTTTTCACCTACTCTTCCCTTGCTCTTTGATGTGAAACAGCCATTGCATATTTTATAAGCTGACAAAACTAGAAGGTAAAGTTAGTATTATCAGATGTGCATCTTACAAAATGCATTTTTGAAATCTATTATGGTTGCTTGGCTATCCCGAAAACCTTTGGACTGTGGGACACCATGATCAATTTAAGATTTCATGGGCACCATTTTTTGTCATTCAGTACTACAGTTTCACTTTGCCTGGTTAGTTGAACTTCTTTTTGCATTGATAGCGAGGTCTGATGATGTGTGGTCATTACCTAATGTATTCTAGCCCATTATGGTTGTGAAAGATTACTTGTAAAAGGTTTTCCTGTTGGAACTTAAGTAATGCCATTATCTTTTTATATTTATTTGCACCCATCAGGAAAATAAAATTTAGATAGTGTACTTTGATTTGTTTTAATTTGATAGATAGAAGTGAAATTGTTGTTTCTTATGTATTAAAACAAATGCTGAGTTTTCCATTTTATAGGGTTGAGATCCTCTGCCATTATATCAATGTCCACATTCCCCACCATATTTCTTCAAGGATACCAAGCTATAACCTACGAGCTGCTCATAAGTCTCTTCAAGAGAATTGGGGAAAGGTTTGCTGAAACAATATTTATTTATTTAATTCATCATGTTTTCCTAGAGATGATGTGCAGGAGTGTCTCCTTTTTTCTCTGTCATTAGAAGTTCCTTACTAGACAACAGAAGAGATTAGTCACAAAGGAAAGGTGGAATGACTGAACTAAATTGAAGTGAAAAAATAGAAAATAAAATAAAATAAAAAGGGCAAAATCCAGAAATACTTTCGAAAAATTTCTAAACGGTGACATATAAAATACTCTGGTGGATGCTAATGAACTTTCTTTGGTTGTTGGTTACAGTATCTGAACGAGGCTACATGGAATTGGCGATTAATGAAGACGATAATGACAGTATGCCATGTTTACAATAAGGAGAAAAATTACATTGCGTTTGATCAACTGGCCCCTGAAGATTCTCTTCCAATTACATTCCTGAAACGAGCTATGCCTGATTATGCTTGATCTTAGCCTTCCAGGGTCCACTTTTGGTTCTTTCTTATCTCTTCGCCCCCCCACCACTTTTACAGTCAAATTAGGTGTGCAATTCCGGTTTCACATGTCTTCTATCTAATGTTGAATAGGTTTTTTAACATTTACAATTATAAAGAAGAAAATGGTTAAAGAGGAAGTTTCCTGGAAAGCTCCTGTTGAATTTTTTGGCCTAAAAAATGCAAAGCATTAAGATATTTGTTATTATGTTGGGAATAAGGGTGTTTATTGGACAACCATGATGCTCGCAAACAGGATTCTCTCTTTAATTATAAAATGAAAACCCCAGACGTATCTTTGATGTGCATATTATGTTGTCTTCATTCTATGACTTTGGGGGCAGCCTGACCCAAATGGTCCCAACTCTGTTTTTGGACTATATTTTAGAACATCAGAGTTAGTGTAAACACACCCAGCCCCCTTTGCTGTTATGTCATTGGAGCTTCAAGAGCACCTTCTCATCTATTATGTTCTTAAATCCTAACAAGTGGGCTTGATGTTAGTTAGTCTCGAACTTCATCTCAGTTACCATATTCAATTACTGATGTTAGTAATAAACATGGGTTCTTAAATCCTAACAATGTATATTTTTTTAACAGTGAGGAAGACACGATAAGAATTGAGACAGTTCCGGGTCATTAGTAGTTAAAGAGTTATAAATGTGGATTAATGAGGTGTTTTTCTTTTTCTTTTTTTTTATCGGTGGGTTAATGAGGTGTTAGTAAATTGTTTAAAGAACAAGTTGAGATTTTGAAAAGTCTCGAGTGAATTTCCCCAATATAAAGATCAGTAATCATGGGAAGCAAACCCAAATCATGGAAAGCAGGCTTTGCTTCTGCTGTTGTAGATGCTATGATTATTAGATTTGGTGTACCTGAAGAAAAAGGGCATGAGATTCAGGATTGGATTAGGTCTAATCTAAACTCCCTTGAAACTAAAGATGGGACCAAACTTTAAGCAAAGTATTGCTGTGAACTTTAGTAGTTCTAACTGCTCACATGCAAAGAGCATCTGTAATTCAAGGGGTGAACTTTGATTAAAAAAAAGTAGGTTATTGAAGAACTCAAAAGAAAAAGGGTAGTGGTCCAAAAAAGATAAATCAAAGATAGGGAGAACAAGATACCATGATGATCGAGTAGACTCTGCTACTGAGATTTTAGATCCTTCTTAAGATGCAAAAGAAAGTTGAGTATGGAAGTTGAGCAATCAGTGTCATTCCTCTGTAATCATTAGAAATGGACAAACCAATTAGAAACCCCAAAACTCTAGAGCTCTCTACAATGGTAGAAGTAAAGATGTCTCGTTGCTTAGAACTCACAACTCTTACGTTTGAGATTTTGTGCCCTTGCACAATTTAAGTAATTTAACCGTTATTTATTAATTTTTAGTAATAAAAAGTCGTAAAGAATATGGGTGTGATAAATAATGAATGAAAGATGATTATTTTTATAATGAAAAAAAAAAAAAGAGAAAAAGTTAAAGATATCGAAATTAAACGATGATGTCTGGAGAGATTTGGAAAAAAAATTTGGGCTATTTCCTAATGAAACGAAGCAAACTTTATAGACAGAGACACAACTCCTTTGTAAGGCTTTCCAGACGTTTGATTGTATGCTATGCTTATCCTTTCCTTTGTCTTCTACCACCTAAAAACACGAAGGATGACCATTGTGTATCAAAAGGGTAGGAAACCATGACCTAAATCATAGGATTGGGGGCGGAGTCTCCCATATATCAAACACATTCTCTTCACTATGCAATGCAAATAACCGATCTCCCCCTATTGAGAAATCACAGATTGAACCTCCATCACTTCTCCGGAGCCTGGATGTTAACACACAATCTGGACCGCAAAACACAGAGATGCAATCGTTCATGGATGAAAACAATTGTCCCTCGTGCAATGCTAGTTTTGGATAACAAGGCTCATCCAGCATATTCCCCGTGCTCAATCTACTTCTAGAGCTCCACCTCACCCCACCTCCTTCCATCCTCAAATCTATGAACCCCAAGTCCTCGTACTCATTCACTACACAGATGGAGTTGGTCTCCTCTATTGCTATAGCGTCTCTAACTCTCTTCTCATCAACGGTCACCAGAGCTCCGATGTCAGACCAAGACCAAACCATTCTCTTCTGTCTGAAATCTAAGATGCTAATATAACAGTTATCTTTCCTAGGAAACAAAGTGGCAACCAGCAAACAGTTTCTCCCATTCAACCATTGCAGTTTATCTGCATCCCCAAGAGAACTTTCATAGAAGAAATCAATTTGTTTTCCGGTGACCTGGTCCCAAACCCCAATTCCGTACTCATTGCTCCTCCCTTTACAACTTGAGAAAATCTTGTAATCCGGGCTGAAACTCAGAGCTCCGGCAGTGAAACTCTTCGTTTGGTTGCCATGAACAACATTGAATTTGTACCTTAACTCTCCCGTCGATGAGGTAAACAGCCCCATGCCGCCGTCCGGCGTCCCCAGCCTCTCGCAAGTACTGATTACAACACTATCCGCGTTGACCCAACCTATATCGTTTACTCTCTGGTAATCAAGGTTGATAGGTGGATGCTCTTCTAACATCCAATCAAACACATGCACCATGCTTCCATGAGCGACAGCACACCCGCCGTCCGGTCCGGCTCTGATGGCCGTCCCGTCTCCAGGAGCCCGACCTGTTACTGACTTGCAGTAGCGTAACCTGTTACCATTGAACGGACCCCACTTCGCAGATCGAACATGATTAATTAGGCCATAAAACGCGGCCTCCCTGTATAACAACCTCTCTGGCACATTAGAGGGGATGTGAAGATAGCCGGTCCGGAGGAGGTCGAGGAGAATAGAAAAGCACTCGGGGTTCCCATCGATGAAGAATTCTTGGCTGTTGTTAGAGTGTAACAAGTCCCAATCATCGTTGAACAATGCGCCAAAGTATGAATCCCTGCCAGCGTTCGCTAGCGTCGTGGCAGTTGTTTCAAAGACTCTGCCCCCAACGTTGAATTTGATCCTGTCCTTCTGCACTCCCATGATCAGGTTTTTCAGCCAAATTCGGGAAAACAGAGGAATTGCGGTTTCAGTAGGAAAATTTGTTCTGATGTATATATTTGCATATACAGAAACCAAAGGAATTTTGGAACCAAAGACAGACAAAATTCCTTGAAAGTTGGAGAAATTTTGCGATAATTTTGAATAAATTGAGCTCAAAAGTTAATAAAAATTAGAACAGACTGATCTTTTAAAGAACAAACCATTAAATTTCAATAAACAAGCTTGAAGGAGAAGCTCAAAATTGAAGAGGGAAACAGGGGAAGAAGATCAAAAGAGGGGGAATTTCAATCAAAAGGAAGAAAATTGAGATATGGGTATTGAAGGGGGGAGGATTTGGAATTTGGGTTTCGAATTTCGTAGCATTTGGTGAAGAACAATTGGAGAATTGGAAGGGGTTTAATTCAAAAAATAGACTCTCACTCTGTTCTTCTCTCTCTTCATTTCTTCTTACATTGTTTTCTCCATGTTTCTCTCTGTCCTTCCACGTCTATCCTCCTCTCCACGGGACACATTTGAGGTTTGAGCTATATGCAATTTATCAAAGAGTCTGCGGTAGGGTCCACTTCAGCTTTTCCTTCTAATGTTGTTTTCACCGTTGGATTTTTTTGAAATGTGACATCAGACGGTGAAGATGTCATGATTGGGCAATGGGAAACTTTATTCATGTCAAGTAGTCTGCGCTGAACGGGTCCACTTTAAGTTTTTGGTCGTACTTGGGTCTCTACCGTTGATGCTGTAAATGATCAGATCGTACGGTGGAAATGTCATGGCACGTGACATGTCGCACAGTTTAATTGGGGTTTAAAATTGTCGTCATAGCAGTCATCATTTCTTTGGGTTAAAGAAAGAGAGCGGGTCTTGCTGGTTGTCTTTGACGTTATTTTGTTTTGAATTTTTTTTAACGTGATTTTTTTAATACATATTAAATGCTTTTTTTTTTATCAATGATAATATATTAGTTTAGGTGAAAAAAATTTAATTTTTGTTAAATAAAATATTAAATTCCACTCTTATGAGTAGAGAAATAAGTAATGGGAGAGTTTCTTTTCTTACAAGATCTGATACAACTCAATTCTGAATTAATTGAAATCCAATTTAATTACTAAATATCAAAAGTTTAATATAAACAAATATTTTTTTTATTATAAATATATAAT